AGAGTCGGCCAGGACTGACATGACTCAGCAGCAGCATCCACACTTAGCCCCTGGCGGGACAGGGAGTTCTTTTGGCCTTCAAGTTGCATTTCACAGTTCTGTCCAGAACTGCCCCACACTGGCTGTTCATAAATAACTTGCTATTAATAGAACAATGCTTTAGACTTCCCTGCTGGTCCAGTGGTTAAGAGTTTGCCTGCCAATGCAGGGGACAGGTGTTCAATCCCTGGACCGGGAAAACCCCACATGCCAGGGAGCAACTAAGTCTGTGTGCCACAACTACTGAAGCCCATGCACACTATACAACCTGTGCTCTGAGAAAAGAGAAACTACTGCAACGAGAAGCCCACTCACCGTAACTAGAGAAAGCCCGAGTGCAGCAACAAATACCCAATGCAATGAAAAATAGTTTTTTTTAAATGATGCTTTACTACTCTCCTCCGATGCACCATCACACACACACACACACACACACACACACACACAAAGAAATAAATGATGCTACAAGTGTTCCAGGAGCCAAGGGGACAGGATCTGACCTGTGTCTCAGGGAATGCATTGTCTGAGGACAGGAGGAAGGAAGTGAGGCAGGTTTGGGGTGACTGTGACTTACATGTGTGTGACCTTGAACAATTTATTTAACCTCAACCATGTATCTCTGTTGCCTCATATGAAAATATGAAAATAATAATATCTACCACTTAGGGATGTTAGAAGGCCCAAATGACTTTAAAAAAAAAAATTTATTGGAGTATAGTTGATTTACCATGTTGTGTCTGTTTCCCAAATGACATTAAAAGATTGTTGTATATAATGTTTAAGGTCACAGACTCTGGAGACTGGCCCCTGGACCTGCCCAGCCATCCACCAGCTGTGTAACCTTAGGTGAGTCCCTTACCCTCTCTGTTCCCTTGATTCCTGCTCTGTAACAGGGGAATGTCAGCACGTGCCTCAGAGGGCTGCTGAAAAGATAAATGAGCTAACAGATGTAAAGTGTTTACAGCAGTGTGCCATTCGGAGTTGAGTTCTCTGTAAATGTTAGCAATTGCTATGTCAGGATTATGTCCTCCAAGTAGGACTCATGTTTGTTTGTTTGTTTGTTTCCATTAAACTCTAGACTGTATTCTAATTTCACCAATTTTTCCATTAAAGTTCTTCTGTTTCGGGATGCAATCCAGATGACCATATCACATGTTGTTTCCATGTCTCCTGGGTTTCCTTTGTGACAGTTTCTTAGTCTTACCTTGTTTTTCATGGTTGTGAAGGTTTTAAGGAATACTGGTCAGATATTTTGTAGAACATCTCTCAGTCTGGGTTGGTCTGAGTTTTTCTCATACTTAGACTGGGATTATAGGTTTGAAGGGAGGGGAGAAATACCATAGAAATGAAGTGCCCTTCTTATCACATCATATGAGGAGCTACATAATACTCACATGACATCACTAGTGATGGTAGACTAAGCTATCTGACTCTAATGAAAATTAGAGAAGTAACTTATTAGATATTACATCTCCCATTTGCATTCTTTCTTCCTATTCGAGTATTCAGTCCCTTCCCCAGGTTACCTATGGACTTGATGATGGTTTGTTATGATTTCTACATATGTAATTTTTGTTACTTATTGGAATATAGGCAAGGATTTATTTTAGACTGTAAAGACAAGTTATGTACATGATTGCTCCTGGCTCTCTTCTGGTTAGAAAAAAATTTTTTTTAATTGTGGCTGCAAAAAACACCTCATGATACAAAATTTTAAGGTAGAGTTAATTTTATTTTTGAGGTACAGTTCAGAAATGTTAAGTGTCTTCACATCACGAAGCAACAGACTGGGGCTCGTATTCTTTTGGTGACACACCAAAAAATTTACACCAGTTATGTGGAAAAATATGTTTTATATTCATCATTATGTTTTAATTTTCATTTGCATTAATATAAGTTGCATATTAGTATACAATTTTGTGAATGTTAGTGTTTAAAAACTGAGTTGAGCTTATTTTAGTTGAGCTGTTTTAAGGAAAACTATGAAGTAAATAAGTTAAAATGTATGTGGGTGTGCATATGGAAGGTATTATGATGTGGTCAGAGAAAGGCTGAGGTTTGTGAAACACTGACCTGCTAAATCCTCCTCCTCCCCCAGGGTCAATTAACCATCTCCTTCACAAGGCACTTCCCTTACCATCCTCAGTCTCTGCTAGATCCCAAATCATATGGTCTCAAAACTCTATTTTTCACTTTTTCTTTCAATCAAATTTATTTTAGAGACAAGTAACTGAATCCCAAATCAAACTGGTCTGGGAAGATCAATGGAATCAATAGACTCACGCAATACAAAATGTGAAGTCAACATTAGTACCAACTTCAGGCACAGCTAGATCTAGGTGTTTAAATGATAGCCCCTGAAATTTCTATTCATTCTGCCTATGCTTTCCTGTGTGTTGGCTCATTCCTTTACAGCCTCTCCACTCAAGGTAGAAAGAGGGCCCCAAGCAGCTCCACATTTAGATCCCTTCTGCTTAGCAAGCCCAGGAGAAAGCAGTGCTATATTTCCCAGAATTCCAGTAAAAGCCCTCATTTTGCTCCTCCTTGGCCTGCTTTGGGTATGAGCCCAAGTCTCAAGAAATTACTGAGGCTTGGGGCTAAAATGCTCTGATCGGTTAAGCTTGGGTCACAAGTCCAGCCCTCACTCAGTCACTGTGGTTGAAGCATATAAAGTGCTCTGATTGGTCAGATCTGGGCTCCTCGGCTCCCTGGAACCAAGAGGAAGTTGGTTTCTCAAAAGAAGCTCCACTTGTTGTCACCTGGATAAAAGAATGTGAATACCGGTGGAGCAGAAACCACAGAGTTCTCGTCCATAGACGGTTATTAGCCATACTGCAAATATTTGTTTATTACCCATCCCTGGTCCCCTGGCCTGGCTAGTTGCCCTAGCAGAGGCCTTCAGGAAAATCATAAACAAGGCAGTATGGTTAGCACCAGTAAAGACATAACCCTGTCACTTGATGAGGGCTACTTTTAGAGATTCAAGGGGAAGACTTTGTCCCAGGGTCGGGTAGAACCTAGACATCTCTGGGAGAGAAAAACAGGAACTTCTGAGTCAGATATGAGTTCAAATTCCAACACTCCCATTATTTCATTATTTCCAACATTCATTCTTTCATGCATTCACTAAAGGAAATTTATTGGGCTTATAAAGTGCTCTGATTGGTCAGATCTGGGCTCCTCGGCTCCCTGGAACCAAGAGGAAGTTGGTTTCTCAAAAGAAGCTCCACTTGTTGTCACCTGGATAAAAGAATGTGAATACCGGTGGAGCAGAAACCACAGAGTTCTCGTCCATAGACGGTTATTAGCCATACTGCAAATATTTGTTTATTACCCATCCCTGGTCCCCTGGCCTGGCTAGTTGCCCTAGCAGAGGCCTTCAGGAAAATCATAAACAAGGCAGTATGGTTAGCACCAGTAAAGACATAACCCTGTCACTTGATGAGGGCTACTTTTAGAGATTCAAGGGGAAGACTTTGTCCCAGGGTCGGGTAGAACCTAGACATCTCTGGGAGAGAAAAATAGGAACTTCTGAGTCAGATATGAGTTCAAATTCCAACACTCCCATTATTTCATTATTTCCAACATTCATTCTTTCATGCATTCACTAAAGGAAATTTATTGGGCATCCATGATGTGCCAGGTATTAGTACTGTTCTAGACCCTGGGACATAGTCATGAGCCAAACATGACTGAAGGGCTCCTCCTGGATCTGACATTCTAGCCAGGGAGGTGGATGTGGGGGATAAGAGACAAATAATAAACAAATGGACAAAAAAAGAAATGATTTCAGATTGTATAATAGTAAATATTATAAAGAAAATAAAGCAGTGTATCTTGCTAGCAAGAAGCAGGAGGGGGCTGACTTACAGTAGGTATTAGGGAAGACCTTTGTGGGGAATTACTATTTGAATTGATATTTGACTTGAGATTAGAATAATGAGATGATTATTATCCTCATCTCAGCCAGTCATGAGATGATTTGTGAAAGCCTCCAAGGAGTAGCAGTGCTAAGGCCCTGAGGTGGCTCACTCCAAGAACTGACAAAAGCCATTATGAATAGCTGTGTGGCATTGGGTGAATTTCTTAGCCTTTGTGTACTGCTGGAAAATGAGGATCTTCATACCAATCCCTCAAGGTACTATGAGGAGCCAATCAGAAAACAATTGTAAATGGCGATAACTGGCACCCAACGGTTGTTCAGTAAATCCAAGCTATTATTTGGGTGGTATTATTATTAATTTGAGAAGGAAAGACTAGGTCTGGAGGGCCAAAAGGATGAGAGAAAGAAGCTTTGGTAGCTTCTCCTTCTAAAATCCAAAATTTAGGATATATAATATGAGCACAGCCGTGAGAAAGGGCTCCTGATCATGACTTGAGAACATCCAAGATACCAATAATAATCACTGTAATTAGCATTATTGTAATAGCCACAGCCATTTTTTGAGTACCTATGACATGCCACTCTGCTGAGCACCTGATTTATGTGTGCATGGGCCCCTCTGACCCTGGGGAAGGCACTGTTATCAACACCCTCATTTTACAGAGGCTCAGAGTTAATAGTCTGGAGGTCTGGAGCAAAGTCAGGAGGCCAGCAGGAGGCCCAGCTCCCCGCCTACCTGATGACCTTTGGCCCATTGTCGCCTCTGATGTGGGGTTTCAGGGACAGTTCTGTCCTAGTTCTTCATCTTCACCATTCTCCCAGCCCAGAGGGGATGGGAAGGGGAGCCAGAGAGAGAGGCGAGCTCAACTCCAGAGCCTCTTCTCCAAAGACCCTTCCCCAGCCTCCTCCCCACCCACCACTGCCAGGAACCCAGTGCTAGAGAAGAGACTTCCCAGCTCATCACTGGAGACCAAGGCTGGGCACTGTGGAGGTGTGGCCAGGGAATGGGCTGGGCCTCGCAGGGGCGGAGCCACGGCTGTGTACTTGATTGACTGTGTGGTCTAGGGGACCCCACTCCAGAAGGGCGACCTCTTCTGCGCTGCTGCCTACGCCGCCGCAGGACAGAACGCGGCATGAGGTGGCCTCTGGGCACCAGCTCCAGCCACAGCCCCGCCTGGACAAGGCTGCTTCTAACAGGTGCGTGAGAGACAAGGGCTGCACTCACAGGTTGGGGACAAGGAGCAGACATCCCTGGGGAGGGAGAGAGTCTTTATCCAAATCAGAGACGCCCCCACTCTGAGTTCTGACTCTGGTCATGTTACAGCCCACGCAGCATGAGCAACCCACGCATAAGAGCTCTTGAAATCCCCAAGAGGCCCCTGTGATTGACCCCTTTTACAAAGGAGTAAAGTGAGGCTCAGATAGGGGTGGGGTCACTTGCTCAAGAGCAGGTGGCTGGCAAAGGCAAAATAAGAATTCAGTACCCCCATGCCAGCCCCTTTCCACCAGAGCACCCTGTCTGACCCTAGCTACCCATATCTAATAATAATTTTTTGATAACAATAACAATGAAAAAGTATAACAATCGTAATAAAAAGAGGCTATTGTGACTAAGTACTTCTACATGTCAGCCTCTTCTAAGTGCTTTCATGTAGTAACATTTAATTCTTAACCCCAGAAGGCTAGAGTTACACAAGCCCCATTTCATAGAGCAGGAAACTGAGACACAGAGAGGTTATGGGTCCTCCCCAGGCCACATAGCTTGAAAGTAACAGAAGGACTTGACCCCAGATGATCTGGCCACCAAGACCACACTTTCCAGAAGCCACCCACATTTACCTCTTGGAGAGTAAATGAATTGCTTCTTTTTCCAGGCCTTAAAAAGTCCAGTTCTGTGTAATTTCAAAACTTCAGCCACAGTTGAGAACTTCACTTCTGCTCCAGCTCGGACCTGGGTCAGGCTGCAGTGAGGATGTAGTGGGATGTGGTGGGCCTTGTTTCTATGTCTCTCTGTGTCCTTTCTCACCACCCAGAGGTCTGTGTCCACCCCCTCCACCCCCCAAGGCCATGGGTAGAGGAGAGGAAGGCAAGGAGGGTGCAGGAAGGTTTCAGACTGACTACTGTAGCGGTAAGGTGGGGACATGGCCTTCTGTGTGGCTGAGGCATGATGCTGAGATCTTCCTGGGCGGGAAATCTACCCAGCAAGTCGTCTCCAATGGGGCTTTTTGCCAGGACAGGCTCCAGAGATGCCCCCATTTGGAGCTCTGACTGGCTCCTTCAGCAGCATTCACACTGGCTCATGGGAAACTTGTGGACGTCTCTGTTGTCCCACCAAATGCAGGAGGTGTGGACCATATCCATCCTGCCCACTCCACCTCCATCTGTCACCTGAAGATTTACAGGCCTAAGTTCCCACAAACTCCACGGCACACATCTCCAGCACTCCAAGAGGTTCCCTTGGAGCTCCCCCCTCACTTAGCAGGAGGTGGAGGAAAATCCCAGCCCCAGTGGGGACCTCCAGTCCCCCAGAAAACCTCATTCTGAGCCATCTCCTCTTCCCCATGAGCTCTCAGCCTTCTCTCTTGGCAGGGGTAGAGTGGCTGGTGCTGGCAGAACTGGTGATGGGTAACCCCTGTTAGCTGGGCTTCCCTGGTGGCTCAGATGGAAAAGAATCTGCATGCAATGCAGGTGGACCCAGGTTCAGTCCCGGGGTTGGGGAGATCCCCTGGAGAAGGGAATGGCAACCCACTCCAGTATTCTTGCTTGGAGAATTCCATGGACAGGGGAGTCTGGCGAGCCACAGTCCTTGGGGTCACAAAGAGTCAGACATGACTGAGTGACTAATAGAACAACCCCTGTTAGCTAGACCTCAGTTGGGAATGGGGAGTTCTTGGTGTCTGTTGTTTTGTTCTCAGCCTCTGGAACCTTTGGGGAGATTCTGCGGCAATGGAAGTCAAGTTTAACATTCTGCTGTATTTATATTTATATATAGTGATTCAAGGAATTGTTCTGGGGTCAAATAGGGAAAAACTGAATAGTGACTTTTTCTCATTTGACTGAAGGTTAGAAATGAAATAAAATAGCCATGCTCCAGGCAAGTAGGACTTCTGGAATGATCTCTATGGTTGTAGAGATAATATATATATTATATATATATATATATATATATGTTATATATTATTATATATTATATATAGATTTTATAGGTATTGTGTATATACATATACCTGCAATATATATTGCATGTACATGCTAAGTTGCTTCAGTTGTGTCCAGCTGTCTGTGACCCCATGGCTGTAGCCCACCAGGCTCCTCTGTCCATGGGATTTTCCAGGCAAGAATACTGGAGTGGGTTGCCATACCCTCCTCCAAGGGATCTTCCTGACCCAGTGATCGAACCCTTGTCTCCTGCATTGGCAGGCAGATTCTTTACCACTGTGCCACCTGAGAAGCCCCTCCTTTCTATTTATTATCACCCTTGTCACATCAACTCTCCACAGCACTCATTCTCACCAGCGCAGGAGGGTTGGCGGCTGGGGCAGCATCTTGCCTTTGGTCCCATTGCTCACTTGCTCTCTCTTCTCCCTCCAACCCTCCTACAAGGCACCCTGCTCACATTCAGCACCTGCTCTGACTCGTTGGAACTGCCCTCCTCTGTGTCTTTGGACCCCTTGACCGAAGGAGCCGATGCCCACCTGCCAGTCCCCAGAAGCCTGGATGGGGTTCTTTCCACTTCTTGGTTCCGAGGGCATGAAGTCCGGCCAGAAGCCATGATCTTCTCTCCCGAGGGCCTCCCAGGGCCTGGCCACACTGGCCGGGAGACGCTGGACAGCCAGGGCAGCCTGATCATCAGAAACGTGACGACTTTAGATGCGGGCAGCTACACGGTGGTGCTGGAAACCAGAGAGGGGATCAGGAGCACGACGGAGCAGATACAGGTCAAGGGTAAGTTCACTCCCCATGCCTCCACGGCGGGGCGGGAGGGACAGAGTTCTCAGTCCGCAGAACTTAGAATAGCAACTAATTTTTTTTTAGCTCAAGATTCTTGTGAACAGTTCTGGTCTCAGCTAATTTTAGCCGGGCTCACTCCAGAGTCTGCAGTCAGCCGGTTCGGAAGGATTGCCTGGGCACTGGTGCGGGATGGCCTTCATATGTCTGGCAATGGCCTGGCTGGCAGTTGGGGCGATGTCGGTAATTGGGCCACGAGCCTTCCCATCCTCCAGCCCGTAGCCTGAGCTCGTTCTCTTATCAAAGGAGCAGAAGCTGCAAGGCTCTGGAGGCCCGGGCTCAGAACCAGCCTGCCAGTACTGCCGCCATGTTTTATTGGCCAAAGTGAGTCACATGACCGGCTTTGCTCCAATGGGAGGGAAATAGGTTGAGGTCCATCAGTCTGGGCTTCCCACGGGGCTCAGTGGTAAAGAACCTGCCTGCCAATGCAGGAGGCATAAGAGACCGGGTTCGATGCCTGGGTCGGGAGGATCCCCTGGAGGAGGAAATGGCAACCCACTCCAGTATTCATGCCTGGGAAATCCCATGGACAGAGGAGCCCGGCAGGCTGCAGTCCATGGGGTCACAACAGTCGGGCTCGATTTTGCAACTAAACCACTACCACCATCAGTCTACATATCTGTGATTTGAAGGCCAGTTCTTCTAGAAGCCTACTCTGCCTAAAGCGTGTGCAGACTCTGAAACCCAAACCACCTGCATCGAGTCCTTGCTCCTTCACTTCCTAGCCACATCCCTTTGCAAAGTGACTTGCCCTCTGTGCGCTTCAGCATCCTTCTCTGTAAAAATAGAATCATGGTAGACCCTCCCTTGTAGGAGCGCTGTGAGGAACAAACGAATTAATCCACACCAAATACCTAGAACAGTCCCTGGCACCTGTTGCCAAAATCTTGGTTCTCTGTGTGAGATGCCAGGTAAAAATACAGAGACAGGGTTTTGGAGGAAAGAGGAGTAGCTTTATTTCTTTGCCAGGCAAAGAGGGAACACAGCAGGCTACTCCATTAAGAACTGTGTCCCCGCTGGAGGGGGTAGTGAGGAGTTTTATAATCTTTATAATGGGGCTCATGGTCTGGCATATGTGATAAGGATCAAAGTAACGAAGGTCTTGTATTCTTCTTCCTTTTGTAGAGTTTCAAAACAGTCCTAGTTGACATCAGGCAACTCAGTGACTCCCTCTTTCTGTCTCCCAGGGTTGTTGGCCTGTTATCTTCTTTCTGAAAGGAAGAATGCTATAGAGGATTGTTACAAGAAGTGTAGGGGAATGTGAACCCCAGGTGCAGGGTGTAACTCACATAGAGTCTGAGAGTGGTTAAGGGATTAGCTTTGTAAAAGGCAGCAGGCCGTGCTACATGCTCAGTGAATCAGTAGCAGTTAAACTAGGATTGCTTACCTCTTTCAGGCCAGTGTATGCTATTTCCCCAGCCTGTTCACTGGTTCCTTATTTTCCTTCCTTATCAGAAGAGTCTCATTTCTGTCTTTGCTGCAACGCACAGAGCAAGCAAATGTTTGCCATGAGTATTTCAGGGGACTTGACCTCTTCGAGCCCTTGTTTTTCCATTAAAAGGATGATAACAAATTTGAAATCTACCCTGTAGGGTTGTTGTGAGGATTAAACAAATAAATCCAGTGGGTTTCAAGTTTTTTAAATCATGACCCAGTATGTTCATATATCTACACATCACAAGTCACTTGCCTTTACAAGTGTCATAAAATAACAATTATTGCTAAGTGTGATGCATTCTGATACTTTTACATCTCATTTCACATTTTAAGTGCTGATTATTCACTCAGTGTGCTCAGTCATGTCTGACTCTTTGGGACCCCATGGACTGCAGCCCTAAATGCTGATGACAACCTACTAAGACAACCTACTAAATGATTTCACCCAAGCATGGGTCTTATTCATAACATAACAAGCCAGTAATATAACGAGCTGTAGTTAACATGTATTTAGAATGGTGCTTGGCTCATAGTAAGAGTCCAATCTAGATGGCTATTACATCAATTCATTTTTTTAAAATAATTTTATTTATTTTTGGCTGTGCTGGGTCTTCATTGCTGTATGGGTTTTTCTCTAGTTGCATTGAGTGGGGGCTACTCTCTGGTTGTGGTGTGCGGGCTTCTCCTGTGGTGGCTTCTGTTCTTGCCAAGCACAGGATCTAGGTGCATCGGCTTCAGTAGTTGTGGCTCATGGGCTCTAGAGCACAAGCTCAGTAGTTGTAACAGGGGCTTAGTTGCTCTGTGGCATGTGGGATCTTGCCAGACTAGGGATCGAACCTGTGTCTTCTGCATTGGCAGGCAGATTCTTTACCACTGAGCCACGAGGGAAGCCCCTACATTGATTCTTGTTTCCACACCCGTGGGTTCTTTCTCCTCCTGCAAGGCTTAGCTCAGGCACCGCCTCCTCCAGGAAGACTTCTCTGAGCTCTTTGGCTGGATTGAAGTTTTTTTTCACTTTTCATATTGCACCAAATGGTAATCAGCTCCATATGAAGGTCCCCAGCAGTCACCATGACATCAGATCCAAATCCCAGCTGTGCCTCTCTCTCTCTGACCATGAGTCCTGGCCCTAAGACCCCCAGACCTCAGAGTCTTTCACCTGAAAAAAAAATAAAATAAAATAAAGAACTATGGTGAGGAGGTGGGGAGGGGAGCTTCCCTGGTGGCTCAGCGGTAAAGAATCTGCTTGCCAGTGCAGGAGTTGTGGGTTCCATCCCTGGGTCAGGAAGATCTCCTGGAGAAGGAAATGGCAACCGACTCCAGTATTCTTGCCTAGGAAATCCCCTGGACAGAGGAGCCTGGTGAGCTACAGTCCATGGGGTCACAAAGAGTCAGACACAACTCAGTGACTCAATAATAACAACAAATGGTGAGGATGATGTATGCTGTCTGTAAGGAGCCCTCCCAGTAGCCAATGGCCCAGGCCCCAAGGCTTGGAGGACCCCTTGACTATCACCATCCTCACCTACATCCAATCTATCAGCAAATCCTGTGGACTCTACCTGCAAAATAATCCAGAATCTAGCCACGCCTCCAGAAGTTCCTTGGCTTCTACCCTGGTCCAGCTGAGGGCAGGGGACCCAGGGTATTTATATGCCAGTCCACACTGGTCGCTGTGGGAGGCTCTGTGCCCACTCTCCAGTGCTTTGGCTGCTCCTTCCATGAGCAGAGCAGGCTCTGGCAGCCAGTGAATGCCCTGAAGCCACAGATGCAGTGTTGGCAGTCACATGTGCTGAGGACAGCTCAGCTCCATCCAGTGTCTGGATCAACAGTGGGCACAGACCAGGCCCTCCAAACATGTTGATGAATGAATGAATGAGCGAGTAAATGAATGAACAGATGCCTCTGTGGGGAACAGAGGAAGTGCCCAGCCTCTCTGAGTAGTCTCCACCCATGTGACCTTGCTCCCTTGTTTGCACAGCCACCTATGATGGGGTGCAGCTGGTGACATTCCCGGGAAATAAACAAGGTGTCCTCCGGAGTGACCTCAACTACTCTGTGATCCTGCAGTGGGCGGCTTTAATCACACCTGAACCTGTGCTACGGTGGACCTTCAATGGGAGACCTCGTGGAACTGGAGAAAGGCTGATTGTCCACAGGTTGTCCATGAAGGATCTGGGCACCTACTTATGCTTGGCCGAGAATAGCCAGGGAGTGTACCTCTCCCAGCCTGTGACTATCATGCTGCCACGTGAGTCTCCCACCCTCACCCCAGACCCCTGGTCAGTGGACAGCTTTCCTGATACCATTGAGCCATTTTCTGTGAGCAATTCCCTATGAGACCCTTTATAGTCAAGGTGACATCCCATTCTTTCATCCTCCTGGCAGAGTGGGGATTATTAGCCCATTTTACAGATGAGAAGCTGTGACCTAAAGACTTGAATGCTAATGAAAGCTCAGGGCAGGATCTGGAACCAGCTGTCTGGGTCCTCCTGGCTCCAATCACTTTCTACTCTGTGAGTTTGAGAAGTCTCTTTGCCTCTCTGAATCTCAGCACCTGCCAGAGGAAAAATGAAGGTGGTAATATAACAAGTGGTTCCAAGCACAGGCTTTGGAATTTGAATTCTGGCTCCACTACTTGCTGGCTGTGTGACTCTGGGCCAGTGCCTTGACTTCTCTGTGCTTCAGTTTCCTCAGTATTCTGAGGAATATAAACTTGGAAAATAATAGTGCCTACCCCAAAATGTAGCTGTGAGTATTCAGTGAGATAGGCTGGTGAACAGCTTAAAATAGGGGCGCCTAGCACTATGGAACACTAGTGAGTGCTCAATACACATGAACTGGTATCATTGCTATGATTAGTATTATCCATATTATTATTACTTTTGTGCCTATTACCGGAGGCAAGAGTGTGTACAGAGGCTCAGGTGGCAATCACAAGATGAGCCAATTATTGGGATTAAAAAAAGTGGTTGGGGAGCCAGTCAAAGTGGAGTTCAGTTTCTGCCACTGTGCCTTCTTGGCTGGGTGACTTAGGACAAGTGGTGCTCCTTCTCTGGAGCTTCAGTTTCCTCCTGTGTTTAACCAATGTGATCACGTAGACCTCTAGAAAATTGCTGTTAAGGAACTGAAATGGTAAATGCCAGAAGCTAGTAGAAAATCAGTCAGCTGGTGCTTTAAATAGCAGCAGTTACGTGCATGTTATTTTTAGTATTTCTACTCATAGAGTGGTGAAGAGGAGCTGCCTAGAGAAGAGGGGGAGGCATGTAAGCAGCAGGAATCACTTGAGCCAAGGTCCAGGGCAAGGGAAGGTTGGAGACGGTGGAGAGCCTGGCTTGGCTACATTCCTAGAGCTGCTTCCTCTCCCCAGCCATGGTTCAGTGGGAGGTTTCAGGATTTGATTTTAGATAATTTATTGGGAGAAAAAATATAAATCTTGGAGCACCTGGTGACCCTGATACACTCACTGAGAATGACAGTACTTCTAAGACCCCCTTTCCTTGTTCATCAACTGTTCAGGAAATGTTTATTGAGCACCTATTATGTGACTGGCCTTTGCTGGGCAGTGCTGAGGACAACTGGTAACAGAGACAGTCCTAGTCCTGCCATCACAGGACTTCCAGTGCAGTAGGGGACAGACCTGTCCACAAATAGTAATGACCAGAGTGGGCAAAGCTGGGGTGGGAGAACTCAAAGGGCTGTGAGACCCAAGGGGACGCCTGACCCAGCAAGGGAATCAGGGAGGGCTTCCTGGAAGAGGGGACATCTGAGTTGGTACTAGGACACATAGAAATTGTCCAGGCCAGGGGGAGAAAAATGGCATTCCAGGGGCACAGATAAAGGCTTGGAAGTAGGAGAGGGAAGTAGAAAATTAAGTAGAATCCAACAAAGCTTGGTTATAAATGTAGAGGGTAGAGAGAGATGAGACTGGCCAGATGCAGGTTCTTGAAGGTCAAAGTGAAGTCCTGGAAAGCCATGGGAAGGTTCTGAGCAGGAGAGGAACAGGGTCACGTGTGGACTTTACAAAGACCCCTCTGGGGACTTCCCTGGTGGTCCAATGGTTATGACTCTGTCCTTCCAATGCAGGGGGCACAGGTTCGATCCCTGGCTAGGGAACTAAGATCCCACATAATGAGATGTGGCAAAAAAAAAAAGAAAGAAAAAGAAAGAAACCTCTGGCTTCTATGTGGTGATGAGATGGGTTGGAGAGACTGAAATGGGAGATCGGGGAGGAAGCTGGGGTGGAGACAGGGAGGATGGGGGAGGAGGTGGAATGGCAGGGCAAGTGGGGGTATTTAGGGAGGGTGTCTCCTCCAGTCTCTCCCCTTCTTGGTTCCCAGAAGCTGACGTGGAACCCACAGAACCTGCACCCATCTCTCAGAATCCCCCGCTCTCCCTGTCAGGAGGCTCTGCCATTGCTCTCATCGTGGCCGCATCTGTGGTAGGCTTGGTACTGGTTGGAAGCGTGCTCTTCACCTTCATCCAGAAGCTAAGGTACCTGCCTTCCCTTCCTCCCATCCACTCAGCTCCACAAGGCACAGAGCTCTCTCTGCAGCAAGACTGAAGCCAAACCAACAACCTTATCCCAGGGAGCATAAAGTTCATTCAGAGAGGATGACATAGACCCCCAATGTGCCCCACCTAACTAGTCAGTTCCCAAAGTAGCCCCAGGGAAACAAAGAGACAGGAGATGGTCCTGGAGCTGGGTTCAAATCCCTGTTCTGTCACTTACCCAAAGTGAGGCCATGGCAAGTCGCCACCCACCCTGGGCCTCAGTTTCAGTTCAGTTCAGTTCAGTCGCTCAGTCATGTCCAAATCTTTGTGATCCCATGAACCGCAGCATGCCAGGCCTCCCAATCCATCATCAACTCCCGGAGTTTACCCAAACTCATGTCCATTGAGTCAGTGATGCCATCTAACCATCTCATCCTCTGTCATCCCCTTCTCCGCCTGCCCTCAACCCTACCCAACATCAGGGTCTTTTCAAATGAGTCAGCTCTTCACATCAGGTGGCCAAAATATTGGAGTTTCAGAGTTAGCATCAGTCCTTCCAATGAACATACAGGATTGATTTCCTTTAGGATAGACTGGTTGGATCTCCTTGCAGTCCAAGGGATTCTCAAGAGTCTTCTCCAACACCACAGTTCAAAAGCATTAATTCTTCAGTGCTCAGCTTTCTTTGTAGTCCAACTCTCACATCCACACATGACCACTGGAAAAACCATAGCCTTGACTAGATAGACCTTTGTTGGCAAAGTAATGTCTCTGCTTTTTAATATGCTGTCTAGGTTGGTCATAACTTTTCTTCCAAGGAGTAAAGTGAAAGTGAAAGTGAAGTCACTCAGTTGTGTCCAACTCTTTGTAACCCCGTGGACTGTAGCCCACCAGGCTCCTCTGTTTGTGGGATTCTCCAGGCAAGAATACTGGAGTGGGTTGCCATTTCCTTCTCCAGGGGATCTTCCTGACCCAGGGATCGAACCCATGTCTTCTGCATTGCGGGCAGACGCTTTAACCTCTGAGCCACCAGGGAAGCCCAAGGAGTAAGCATCTTTCAATTTCATGGCTGCAGTCACCATCTGCAGTGATTTTGGAACTCCAAAAAGTGAACTCTGTCACTGTTTCCACTGTTTCTCCATGTATTTGCCATGAAGTGATGGGATCAGATGCCACGATCTTAATTTTCTGAATGTTGAGTTTTAAGCCAACTTTTTCATTCTCCTCTTTCACTTTCATCAAGAGGCTNCTTCAGCAAAGCTCAGCTACTTCTCCTTACCTTTGACGTGGGGTAGCTCCTCTTGGGGTAGCTCCATTTTGCATCTGCAAAATGGGGGTGGTATTAATAGCACCTGCCTCATGGGGCTCTCCTTTGGATTTCTCAAGCCATTTGGGGCTTCCCTTGGTGGTCTTGTAATTAGATCTCTGCACTTCCACTGCAGGGGGTACAGGTTTGATCCCTGGTGGGTAACTAAGATCCTACGAGACACACAGAAAAAGAAAAAAGAAAAAAAAGACTTTAAAGCAGGGCCTGGGATATGGTCCTCATTTTCCACATGAGTAGAACTAAATTGCAGAAAATCCATCAACTTGCCCAAGGAATGCTGCTAACAAAGAGTTGACCCTGAATCAAACCCAGGTCTAACTCCAAAGTCACATTCTTAGAGGGGAAAGGTGAGATATCAGGTAGTATGGAAATGCTCACTCAGACTACTCAGAGTCCCTGCCTCCATGAACAGCAGAAGGGATCACTTCCTGTCCTCCCTGCCATTCTGGCCAAGACCTATTTATGAGAGACCACTGCTGATGTCATCCCGAAGGAACCAGCCTTGTCCAATCAGCTGGGACCTGGGAGATGAGGTCATGAGGACAAGCATGGCTGTCTTGACTGTCCTGGTGAGAAGAGGCAGTCTCCAGAAAAGAGGGGTCTGGACTGAGAAGCACCCCAAGAAGGCCTGCCAAACCAACCAAGGGCCAAGGGAGATTCCCCGTAGTTTTGCAGTGAAGTTCTTGGACCCTGACGCCTTAAGCTCATCCTAGCTCTGCCATATGCTAGCTTGTGGGACTCCGGGTGACCCCTTTAACTGTTTTGTGCTCCATCTGTAAAACAGGGATAATGGTAATATAATATCTGCCTCAAAGAGTAGGTGTGTGAGGGACTTCCCTGGTGGTCCAATGGCTAAGATACCGTGCTCCCAATGCAGGGGTCGTGGGTTAAATCTCTTGTCTAGGAACTAAGATCCCACATGCCACAACTTAACAGTTGAGTTCACATGCCCCCGTGGGGCAACTAAGACCCGGCACAGCCAAATAAATAAATTAAATTAAAAAAAATTTTTTTAAATAAAGGGTAGATGTGGGACCTCCCTGGTGATCCAGTTGTTTAGACTCCATGCTTCCACTATAGGGAGTGTGGGTTTGATCCCTGGTCAGGGAACTAAGATCCCACATGTGGCCAAAAAATAAAAATAAATAAATACTAAAAAAACAAAAAAACAGGGTAGATGTGTGGATTACATAAAATGGTGGGAGTGAGATACTGTTAATATTGCCTGGCACATGGTGAGCCTTCAAAGAATGTCAGCCACGTGTATTATTATTATGGCAATTTTTGTTATTATTATTTCTCTCTCCATTGTAGGTCTGGCTGACAATGAAGAGATGGGTGAACCATTTGGGGTATTTTTCAGTTTAAATAAATTGAATAAAAATAAAAATACAAACAAATGAATCTAGACAAAAGGAGACATTACAAGCAGATCTTAATCATGAATTTTTCCATGGTATTAAAATACTAACAGCTATGTTGCCATATCCAGTCAAAATATACCTTTTGTGGAACATGTCTACTTTTCTGTTCAGTATATAATTCGTAGTGGAATTTCACAGTTGTAGAATATGTATATCTTCAGCTTTTATCTAACAGCTTTTATAAAACAGTTTGGGAGCATCAATAACTGTTTTCCAATCAAATTCAATGTCTTTTCAGACAGTGGTTTCCACAGTGAAATACTACATAGTAGGACTTCCCTGGTGGTCCAGTGGATAGGACCCTGTGTTTCCAATGCAGGGGACATGGGTTCGGTCCCTGGTTGGGGAATTAAGAGCCCACATGCCATTCGGCATGGCTGAGAACAGGCTCCTGGGCTCTGAAATCCCTATTTCCAATCATTCTACTGCCCCATTGCTCCCTCCCTGGAGCCAGTCCCCCCTCCCATTGCCCCCTCCTATGTCAGGGGGGTGTCCTTGTGTTCATGTACATAAGCTAACAGCAAGTTACAGAGAGAGCAAGTGATTTGCCCAAAGTCACACAGCCACATCCGATGCCAGCTCAAGTCTGCCCAATGCCAAAGCCTGTTTCTTAGACTAGCACTGTCCGGGAACACTCTCTGGTGATGGAAGTGTCCATATCTGTACTGTCCACTACAATATTATCCAACACAAGTGGTTATTGAGCCCTTGAAATGGATATCATGTAACTGAGGAACTGCATTTTTTAATTGATTTTTAATTAATTTTAATTTATATATCCACCCATGGCTAATGGCTATTGCATTGGACAGTGCCACCCAAACTCCTAATTGTTAGAAAATAGTAATAATAAATCCCCCAGCAGCCATATGTGTATATTACTGACTCCATGGCAGTTCTGGGGTCCTTGCCCTGATCTATCCAAGGGTCCAGATTTGCTCAGAAACCCCTAATATTGAACCAGATCCTTTCCTACCTGAGGCATCCCACCCTCCCACATCCCTCTACTATGAAGGACAAATGAATCATTTCCTGCCTGGGCAATGGTGAAGGCAGCTGGTTCCCTGGGTCTCAAAGCTGACTGCAGCTGCCACTCGGCCACCAGCTAGAGAACAGGTGAGAGTCATTACGATAGTCCTCCCTCACTAAAAATAAATTGTGCGCATTTTCTCAAAGAGATTTTCTGACCACCTCTGTTATAAATTCACTCGCCTGGTTGAACTTTCCCATAGGACTGTTCTGCTTTATAGTAGTTAGCATATTATGTGATTAAATATTTATTGGTTATACCAATTGATAATTTAACAATTATCTCCATGATAGGGCTTCCCAGGGGGGCTCCAGTGGTAAAGAATCCACCTGCCAAGCAGGAGATTTGGGTTCAGTCCCTGAGTTGGGAAGATCCTCTGGAGAAGGAAATAGCAACCCCCTCCAGTATTCTTGCCTGGGAAATTCCATGGACAGTGAGCCTGGCGGGCTACATACAGTCCATGGGGTCACAAAGAGTTGGACACAACTTAGCAACTAACCAACAACAACATCTCCATGTTAAATGTCAGCCTCATGATAGCCAGACCTGTATCTGCTATACAGTATGTGCTCAATAAATGTTTGTTGAATGAGTGAATGAATGAGAGACTAAAACCACACCACTGGGAAAATTCAAAAGCTCAGAAATGAAAGCATTGACTGAGTCTCCAGCCTTCTCTAAGTTGGAGTTTAACAGGAAGAACAACCTGACTTGAACTCCTTTCACTCTGTCTCTCAATCAGAAAAAAATAAAAAGGTCAGGCATCTTGAGGCCCCTCCCCCAACCCCACGTGGAGGGTAAATGATCATCTGGCTGCAGCAAAACAGCCCAGTCTCAGCAACCGTGGTAGCAGTTACCTTCAGAGTCCCAGAATTCATTCTCTCCTCGATCTATGAAAACCAAATCTTCAGTTTCAGCTGGGCACATGATGTCCAAGGGGAAAGAAAATCAACCTTGTCAGCAAAATGTGTAAGGGTTATGTGTGACTTGCAGAACATACCCTTCAGGTGAAGGAGCATCTTCTCCTGTTGGCAGGAATGAAAATGTGATGACTGGAACCAAGCAGATATATAGGATCATGAGGTGACCATCTCACATGAAGGAGGACAGAGTGGCAAGTGTGAAGTGTGCCAAACCCAGCTTGTGCCTGCTCACAAGAACTTACTTGGGGAAATTCCCCAGCAGTCCAGTGGTTAAGACTCTGGGCTTCTGCTGCAGGGGGCTTGGGTTCAATCACTGGTCAGGGAACAGATCTCATGTGTCTCAGGGCAAAAAAAAAAAAACCCAGAAAACATAAAACAGAAGCAATATTGTAAAAAATTCAATAAAGACTTAAAATGGTGCACATCAATAATCTTAAAAAAAAAAAAAAACTTACTGTGTACATCTCTTCCTAACTCCACATTCAATGATGACATGTTGGTAGACTGAAATCAATTGTGATAGTGATATTTACATCAAGGAAATTGGGAATTACTACAAATCAAGAAATGTTTTATCTCTCTGTTATCCCAGAGAGATAATTTACCAACCCTCCACTGAAAAACAGATATCTGGAGATTTTGTGAAGCTGTTCAACTAGCCCTGTCTTAAACACTTGTGCAGTTCCTTTTACATGAAAGAAGAAACAAGAGTCTATCTTGCAGAAACCACTCTTGTTTTAGTTCCATTGTTTTTTGCAACCCAGTCTATTCCTTTTTTAAAATATTTATTTATTTGGCTGCACCAGGTCTTAGCTGCAGCATGTGAGATCTTGTTCCCTGACCAGGGATTGAACTTGGGTCCCCTGCATTGGGAGCTCAGAGTCTTAGCCATTGGACCACGAGAAGTCCCAACCTGGTCTACTCCTAATGGATATATCTAATCCTAAGATTTAAGCCGTAAAGTCAAAGATTTAAATGCCACTTGGGGGACTTCTATGGTTGTCCAGAGGTCCAGTGGAAGAATCTGACTTCCAGTACAGGGGCAAGGGTTCGATCCCTGGTCAGGGAATTAAGATCACACATGCCTCTGGGCAGTTAAACCCGTAGGTCACAACTCAAGAAGCCCACGCCCCACAAGGAAAGATCTGAAGTGCCGTAACTAAGATGTGACACAGACAAATACGTAATAAATGTTAAAACAAAATAATAAATAAATGCCACTTGGCAAAACAGAGGTTGAATGGCTGGAAGAGAGCCTGTGACCATATATAGGCTTGAATGAATTGGGTCACAATGAAAGTGTGAGACAGGAACAAGGAAAATAATATGCTAACTTCCCATGGTGGCAGTGGGCGGTGGGGCAGGCAGGCTGGGGAATGCAACTGTCAGAAACATGAAAGAACTGGGAATCCCACACCTTGTTCTGGTTTTCTGGCTCTCATTGTGTGTTCTGTATTCAGACAAAAGAAAGATAAAAACAAAGAAAAACTGGAACTTCCCTTCTCTGGGCAGGAATTCTCTCCTTCCCGGGCAGCTACATCTGCCGTGATGAGCTCACTGTCCATAGGCAGAAGCAAAGAAGGTAGAATAGACTAGACGTGGGGTCGAAGGAGAGGGCAGAGAGAAAGCTGAACTGCCTTCAGGTTAGAGGAGATTCAAGGAGGAGCAGAAACTGATGAGGCAAGGTTACCTCCAAGATGTGTCCCAAACTCACAGCTCATCCTCTCAACCTGCTCTTCTCCCAGGGATCCCCATCTTGATAGGATATAAGCTTGGCAGAAACTCCAAATCACTGAGGCTTAAACAAGATAGAAGTGGGCTTCCCTTGCAGTCCAGTGATTAAGAATCCACCTTGCATTAGTGTAGACACGTTCAAGTTTTGCATTAAACTTCAAGCATCGACAAAAAAAAAAAAAAAGAATCCACCTTGCAGGGGACCTAAGTTCCATCCCTGGTCGGGGAGCTAAGATCCTACATGCCAAGGGGCACCTAAACCCACATTCCACAACTAGAGAGCCTGTGTGCTGAAACTTAAGATCCAGCGCAGCCAAAAATAAATATTTAAAAGGAAAAAAAAGAAAGATTCCATGCTCCCAATGCAGAAGACATGGGTTCAATTCCCAGTCAGGGAACTAAGATTCTGTATGCCACACAGCATGGCCAGGAAAACAAAACAAAATCGAAGTTGGTTTCTCTCTCGTGCAACAGTCCTGATGGATGCAGTCTGGGAATGGCATAGAAGCTGTGCTTGGTGATGTCATCCAGGAGGCCTGGTTTCTTTACCCTGTGGTCTGGCCATCCTCAGGGTGTTACACAGTCAGAATGGTGCATGGCCAAGTCCCCTTTCCAGCCAGCAGGAGGTGGCAATGTTGGAGACAGTCTCACTGCCTTCCTTTGATGGCACTACTCACATTCCAGGGGTCAGAACTTGGTCGCATGACCCCACAAGACTCTACTGGTAATTTGTTGTTGTTCAGTCGCTCAATCATGTCTGACTCTTTGCGGCCCCATGGACTGCAGCACACCAGGCTCCCCTGTCCTTCACTATCTCCCAGAGTTTGCTCAAACTTGTGTCCATTAAGTCGATGATGTCATCCACCCATCTCATCCTCTGTTGCCCCCTTCTCCTCATGCCCTCAATCTTTCCCAGCTTCAGGCTCTTTTCTAATGAATCAGCTCTTCACATCAAGTGGTCAAAGTATTGGAGCTTCAACTTCAACATCCGTCCTTCCAATGAATATTCAGTATTGATTTCTTTTAGGATTGCCTGGTTTGATCCCCTTGCTATCCAAGGGAATCTCAACAGTCTTCTCCAGCATCACAGTTTGAAAGCATCAATTCTTCAGCACTCAGCTGACCACTTCGTGGTCCAGCTCTCATATCTGTACATGACTACCGGAGAAAAACCATAGCTTTAACTGTTCACTTTGTTGGCAAAGTGAAGTCTCTGCTTTTTAATATGCTGTCAAGTTTTGTCGTAACTTTCCTTCCAAGGACCAAGCATCTTTTAATTTCATGGCTGCAATCACCATCCACAGAGATTTTGGAGCCCAAGAAAATAAAGTCTGTCACTGTTTCCATTTTTTCCCCTTTTATTTGCCATGAAGTGATGCACTGTTAATTACCCACTCACATCTCTAGTCTCATTTTGCCCCCTTGTTGTCTCTCTTCAGCTGCACCGACTTTAGTCAGGGTTGGATAACTGCTGTAACAAATATCTCCAAAACATCAGCGGCGTGACCCAGTAAAAGCGTATCACCCACTCATACCATAGTTCACTGCAGGTCACTGAGGAGACGCCGTCCCTACACAGTCATTCCCGGACCTACTATGCTTCTAGCCTGGATCTTTGCTCTGGGTCATGTGACCACAGTACTGT